GAACGCCTATGGAATTCACGTCAATTTACGTCAACTCCAAACAGCTGCGAATTTTTTTGTATCGATTCACCCATGGACAGCTACCTAGGGACCGGCACTTCTGATCTAGAAGACCTCCAACATCTAGCACTCCGACCAATGTCGCTACGGTCCAGGATATCGTCTTCACCGCAGTCGCCAAGGCGCTGGTTGATGATATGTAATGGAAGAGTTTCTGGAATGGGAAGCCGGACCTCGGACTGAAGCGCTGACGGTTACATCGAGCAACTCGAGGAGAATATCTTACCTTCATGTCGTCGCCTACCATCTTGGAAACTTTACATACAGCTACAGGATTGGGTGCCACCACATGGAATTGGACAGTGTTGGAATAACTTTCGCCTTCTTGGAATGGGAGGGCGTTGAGTAACTGAAGAAGACGGAATATCTACGTATGTCACCTGACCTGAACCCCCTTAATTACCGGGTCCGAGCGGAGCTCAATAGGGTGGTCTACAGTGGCAGAGAAATCAACGACCTCACTGAACTCAGGCACTCACTCACGGACGCGTGGGAGAATGTTTGATGGCGCTCGTCCAGAAGGCTGTGGCGAAGTATCGTGATAGTGTGTCATATGTTGTTGATTATAATGATAGCAATGTCCTATCGGAATTTGGTAAAGTGCAACTCATATCGCCTTGAGAGTCGAGGAAAAAAGTGTCTTTTTCGCCTCTGCCCTGTATTATACTGACAATTCGGCAGAATTGCTCTCCAGGTGATCAGCTACGAGGTCAGAGCTCCAACGGTCTTCCTCTTTTAGCTCCTCGACCTTCTCACGAGCTGCCCCATCGAGGTGACCAATCAATAAGTTAGCCTTCGGGTCACTCCTGAGAGTCGTGTGCCTCCACCCAGCCTACGTGACCACGCAGAGAGCTGGGATTGAGTCCCCTCATCAATGATATCGGAGAAAGTAGAAACCCTCGGAGATCTTATTTGGGTCACAACATCTTGACTGTGGAGAGAGGGTCGAGTTGACTGCCTACCACGGGAAATATTCATTCAGCTTGCGATTCAAAGACGTATTGCCCTCGCTAATCACAAGTGCTCAGTTCTGTGATGTGGCATCCCCTCACAAGTCATTGTACAGGCCAATGAGCCACACAATTGAATGGAAATAAAATGGGTAATGCGTCAAGAGGAAGTGATCAAAGCTAAAAATCGTGTCATCATGGCGCTTTCGTTTGAGAATTATAGGACTTTACGCTGCGTAAGTTTACTAATCTGCTATTCATTGCTGAGACTCAAACCAGGCGGTATACTAGGGCCTATTTAACCACTCCACCCTACCTCGTCATATTTCTTCTCAAGGGTTTTTTCGCCTAATTCCCTTGCTTGTGGTGCTAAGATTGTGAGACTTCGTATTCCTTTCATGAAAATTGCCTTTTTTTCGATGCTCTGCCCCTTCAGAGTTTCCAAGTGACGGAACGAAAAACCAGGGAAATTTTGCTTCGAGTGACGGGGAGACCATAATTTGTGGTCAGTTCGGACTTTAGCCCGTCAATCTGGATCTTTTTTTAAAATGGGCGGAGCTCACGTAAAGTGCGCGGGGCTCATAAAAGTGGGCGGAGACATCTTTTACATCCTAAAAGGGCGAGGCGCGGCTTAGTGTGCCAGTGTACAGATGCATACCTATGGGTACCTTCATTTTGTGAAGGACCAATGTGAAAAGAACGAGGTCGAAAAAAATTACAAATTCGGACTTACGATAACTTTTTAAAAAGTGGGCGGAGTCGTATCTGTGTCGGCACATTCACTCCAACTCCTCACTTAGAGTGTGTGTGCGAAACAGCAAGGTGCAAAGATAGTCGGAGGAACAGATCTCATAAAATGAATTGTGGGAGGGGCTGAGCAGTACATAGAGTGGTCTCATTATCAACTGCCCAGTGTAAGGTGCGTTGTTCGATCTGATTTGAGAACTGTTCGATTCATTAGCGGGTCATTAGGAACGTTTGAATTCTCTTGTTTTTTCTCACTAGGGTCGAAGTGGCCATTTGTAATGAGATGTAGCTCACTAGACGTGGTTTTAGACGCTGATCTCGAATCTGCCTTCGAAATTTGCAGAACGATTCTCTGAAAGGAATTATGAAGGTTTGTTAGAATTAATGAAGGGACACGGAGTCGAGCGCGGTTGCCAGCCAATTTGCATGAATAGCCGCGAAGCACCCACGATTTCAGCGGCAGCATGGTATGGTGGTAACGGTCTTGCTTCGTTGGCTTGCCATGGAGGGATCGGGTTTCTAAGGGAGAACCTCTTTTGCAATTCGTGATGCCCAAACGCCAAATGGGTGCCATATTCGTGTTCAGGGAGCAAAACTACCCTTGGGGACAGGTTTCTAGCCAGATGTGAGGTTTTGACCTAACTTTGAAAAGTGCGGTAGCAGTTGAGGGAATGATGGTCATCAATAGTTCCAGGGCCAGTCTCTTGTCGATTGCTTGTCTTTGGACGGAATTTGCTTTTAGATACCAGGAAAACTGGAGCAGTAACAACATGAATGCGTAAGAAGTGGCAAGACGAGGCTTTGTGCAGGAGAATGTATCTGCAGCTGAATAGGTGTGAACATCAACTGAACTAACCCATGGATGATCCTTATGGAAGTCAGGTCAGATTTGCCAGATTTGGAACTTGTGTATATAGGTACTTGACCCGCTGAACACGAATATGACACTCGCTGAGCACGAAAACGCCTGTATCGCGCACGACGGGCACCTGTACGCCCCAATCTTTTCCTGCACTACAAGGCTTCTACAAGGAGCCCAAGCGCAGTAATAAATGGACGCAAACTTTTTTCAGGCAAGTTCAGGTGAGCACTGAAGTAGTAGTGACGGCAAAATCACTTTTTGCCACGTTTGCGCAACAAGCAAAAAAGTTAAGCTCAGCAGGGATCCGATCCCATGACCTGTTGCGTGGTAAACGCGGCTCCATAACTCCGTTCAGAGAATCGCTTCTGCAAATTTCGAAGGCAGATTCGAGATCAGCGTCCAAAACCACGTCTAGTGAGCTACATCTCATTACAAATGGCTATTTCTCGTCAAACATTTCTTTAGCACCTTCTTGGACTGCCCAGAAGCTCAGCGAAAAAAAAACTTGAAAAAATTTTTTTGAGTTCACATGATTTTTGAGTTCTTTTTCTCACATGTGTTCACATAGTTATCCACGTGGAGTGTTTCGAATGACCGTGATGACTTCCCTTGGCCAAGTGTTACACTGTCCTTGGTGTAGAAGTGTGCTGATATCTAACGCTATCTTCGTTTTCTATTGAATAGCTTAGCCTTCACCAATTTTCTCAATATCACCCTGCTCACGTTGAAAGCAGGCTGACCGTTCTTCCAGGGCTAATGCCGTTTGGACTCCAGCAACTTCGGCACCGAGCTCATTTTTAAATTACCTAAGTCGCCAAACCCGCTGAAAATATGTACACAAGGGTTATTTACTATTACCATCCTGATTACAATTATGAAAAACTCATTCCATTGGCGCTGGCGCGCAAGGGGATGACATTAATTAACTTTGGGCTCAGCTTAGGCGGAAGGTAGTAATTGTAGTGTCATCCATTAGCGCCAGCGGCAAGAGTGAATGTCATATTCAGGATGTTAAACTACCCCTACATACAAGTTTTTAGCGGATTTGGTAACTTAGGCAATTTAAAAATGAGCTCGGTGCCGAAGTTGCTGGAGTCCAAACGGCATTAGCCTTCTTCCAGTTGGTGAGTCTCTCTGCGTGTCTGACCGCAGCGTGCTCTCCCGTCTTGTGCCTGGCCTCGAGCGAGACGCAGAGAAAAAAAACGGGTTAGTTGTCCTAAGACCCACCTTCTAGCCCGTTTACAATTTTTAGCGGAGAAAGTTTCGCCTTACTGCGGCTGCGGTAACATACACCTCCCATGGCAAGAATCAGGATTCACAGCGAGTGTACAGTTCCTTTTCGAATAACTCCGGAAACAAATGGAAAGACGCCCATGTGTAGAAAGATTTTATCAACACAAACAATTACATCTCATAACAGACAACATGGTATTAAGGAGACCAACACGGATATCATGACCTGCTTCAAACAACCAAATACTTTCAAGTACCACTTCGTACTGATAACAGAACAAAGAGTACCGTACAGTGACTAGCAAAATTAAACGTTTAGTCGTCATCTCTTCGCCGTTTTCTGCTTCGGCTGTGGTCTGAAAACAAAAACCTTGAAAATGCACACCGCGACTCAAAAGATAAGAATATCCACCTTCCACTTTGATCGAGAAATCGAACTCCTGATCTGCTCCAAGATACGAGTCACAGATGAAATACAATTTGTAGTCGAATCGACCAGAGTTCTGCGCTACAAAGTCAAGCTGCATTTTCGCCTTTTCGTTGATGGTCAACCTAAGAGGAAATATTAAAATTGATTCATTTTGTCTTTCTAAATTTAAGTTTGGAATTTGTTGATCTGACCGTTTAATGGAGTAGAGTGCATTCGCAGATGGATCTCCAACCACCAGCCACCATCCCTCTTCTTTTCGTTTCTGAGGGAATAGCGGCGCCACGACAGGAGGTGCGAGACCGTTTATGTGGTTTTCACGCTCCATAGACACATTCACTAATAGCGTATCGCCACTGTAACAAGTTATAAATTAAATCATAAAAATAGGACATCAAAGAAAAGCTAGTAGCAAGATAAGCAGCAATGACGTACACTGTGACGGTATCGTTCTCCAACTCATGTTCAACTTCAATTGAAGGGTAGTTATTACAGAATTTGGCAACATCCGCAAGTTGCACATCTTCCATACGTAAAATATCTCGACGATCATCATCATCCAGCTCCAATAACTCGAATACTGATTCCACTTTCTAGAGAAAAAGCATAATTGCTGCAGAGAAAACAACCGCACGAGTTATTGAACCTAGGGCCGGTCTCACAATCAGGACCTCTGAAGGTACATCTTTTGTAACGCTATAAAAATTCTCGAACCTTTTGCTTAGCTCGTAAGCTGCTTCAGGTATGATTCATTACTGTACATCGCTTGAGTCAACATTTGCGACAACTCCATAGCGTGAATCGCTGGCGAGAGCCAACCGTTGCTGCAAATAGATACGTTCTGTTGAACAAAGAAGGATTTTTTGTGAAAAGAGAATAATCGATAATAGGATAATAGGCCAACAAACCTGGAAAGGACATCAACGCAAGCTTGCACAAGACGAATGGCCTTTAACACTACCATATCGGTGTCCTTGCTGAGCTCAGCTGACAGTTGGATGCGAGAAAGGTGGGCGTGGATCAGCAAATTCACCTTAAGAGAGTACTTCTGACTGAAAAGGATCATGAAAAAGGGCAGCGAATGTTGAAAAAAAAAACAGTACTATTACTACACTGCTACTATTACTACTATTACTTACTTATTACTACACTAACATCTTACTGAAACTGCACTGTTCATGCTACGTTCATACTGTGCGTCAGCCTACGCCAGCGTACCGCAAAGCTTCGAGCGTACGCGTGCAGCAGAGATTCCAGTGACTAGGAAAGCATGGATATCGATCCAGCGTAAGCCAGCGCTTTCGCGGGTAATTTGAGCTCAAGCGAAGCTGCTCGTGAAAAGGCTGTTGTACACCGATAAGCTGGCGTGCGCTAGACTGATACCTATAGTTTCATAGTCGCTAGCGCTAGCGTACGCTCGGAACGCTGCTGTACGCTGACGCAAAGTATCAACATAGCCTCAGTGAACTTACTGTTAGCTATCACAGTGGCGTAAGACCGAAATATAGAGGATCAGCAAGAAAATTTCAAAATCCAGTAACGCAGCAAGAAATTTCAAAATCCGATACACGCACCTTCACATGCGGATCAGAAAACTTCTGATTCTTCAGTTGTCCAGGTAGACGAGCAGCAAGTTGCTTCATTACAAGGTCTTCACGATGTCGCATGGGTATTGAAGCGAACTCACTTGCATTTGCAATGATTTCAATAAGTGCTCGCAACTTGGTTTTAGCTTGCAACGACATTGAGAAAAGCTCTGTAACAATCGTGTTGTAAACGCATTGCCTCTCAATGTTATGAGGTCATTTACGGCTGCAAAAAAAACTCACCTATGGTAGTGTAAGAAATGTAGTAGTACGCAGCAATCATACCCAGATTCAGTGGCATAGTATCCATATCATCTTTAATCGCAATGCACTAGAAAATAAGGAGGATAATACCTGCTAAACCTAAGATTCTCATTCAAACCTCATCACCTTGCTATTCTCCAGATCCTTTAGTGTCAACTCAACGAGTTCCGACAAAGCGTCTGACAGATGTCGATGCGAAATCTCTTGCAAATTGTAATAGTTGGGATTTTGGGTCATGCGACGATATAAGAAGGTCCAAGTAAGATACTGAAAATAATCCCAAGGAGTCAATAGAATGATGACGTTTCGTGAAACATGGATAATATCATGAATGAAACACATTTTGCAAACTAATAGCACGCGGAGGGACTCGAACCCCCATTTCCGGATCCGGAGTCCGGCGCCTTCTCCATTAGGCCACGCGTGCACATTCGTGATCGATATGATTTGCGAATCAAATGCCTCGAAAATCATAACGAAATGAAGATTACTCATATCACAACGTAAATAGAAAAGAGCACATGCACAGCATAACATCAGAATGAAATTCGCTAATTACAGTTACCGTGCGGAAGCATTTTGATGACTTACATCGATTGCGTCTTGTTTGTTCTCAATTGTTTTGGTAACAATCTCTGCATTGAAATGATCATGTAGGCAGTGATCAAGATGTGATTCAACTGGTAACGGCTCATACAGGAATTTTTTGAAGAAGTCCTTCTTCGACGACTGACACATCAACACGCATTTTGCTGCAATCATCCAGTTTCGGTAACCAGTCAAGCAGAAATTCTGACATATTTTGAGAAAAAGAATCCCCCTATCGTGTAAAAATGTTTTTCAAAATATGAATGACCAAGTGTCTAATCCCTTGAAGGCGCGAACGCGAATAGCGAACTCCATTCACCACTATGAACTCGTACATCTCCCCTAGGTCGGGAAAATATGAACTTGCGACATCCAAATTCACAGTTCTAACGTGAAACTTTATTTGTTCTTCGTAAGTTTCATTTTTGTACTCCCACAAACTCTTCCCTGAGGCAGCTCTGATTGAGGAGGCGCTCATGTCCTATGGAAAGAAAGAAAACCGCACAATCGTGAAGTCCCTTCTCCATAGAGCATAATTTACTATCATTAGTAGTATTATCCCTATACATTGCATTATAACTACTGAGTAATCACTTTAGTAACCACTATGACTGCAGATTCCAACCACTACAGGTTTCAAGGTCGAACTTCAGCTCATAGCCCATCATTACTAAGGATCTACAACGAACAATACGTCATCATACATTCTTGAGAAGTCTATGTGAGTTCTCAACCTACTGAGGCGCCAGGTAATTTTTCATGTAATTCTTGCATGAGAAAATATCTACGCAGAGCCCGACGGAAAAAAGTGGGTGCACCTGGTGCTTAATGTGAGAAACTACGGCATAACGACTACTTGCTGCACTTCACATCTGCCTGCCATGATCAGAGATCACAACTTTGATCGGTAATCAAGGCTGGTAGCCACAATATCATGAAAAATGCCCACAAAGTCACTGAGTTCTGCTTTTCAACCGAACAAAATCGAAACTTCCGAATCTTCATAAACATCACGGAAGTGAACAGATCTATCCTTGGAAGACTTGTCAGACTTGTTCACTCGTGTCAAACCTGTCCACTCGGGTTAGAACACGTCAAGAGCTCCGTTGTGCGACAAAATCTTCGAAAAGTGATCAGAGTTAAAGACACGCCCCGCGCTCAAAAAGCATCGAGTTAAGCGGTTAAAATACTAATGGCATGGAAGCAATTAACACTGTAGTAAAGGAAAAAAGCAGAAGAAAAAACCGCCAGAAAGCCGCATAGAACCCGAGGCTGAACTGCGCTTGGACGAGCATAAGGGCGGGGGGGGGGAGGGCGCGGTCGGAGCGAGTTCCCACTTGTTGGTATCACCTCTTTCCCTTCACCCCCTTCCCGCTCTCAACATCTGAAATTGAGAGAGAGAGAGAGAGAGAGGGGAGAGAGACGAGAGAGAGAGATATGGCGTCGAAGCGTCCAGCGACCGCGAGCAAGGCAGCGATTTCCCGCGTATTTTTGAGCTGCGATAGTAGTACACCCTTATGCATGCAGGCAGGACTACCATTTCAAAAAGGCGCCTGAACATCAAATCGACGCGGGGAGGTGGTTGTTTGACGTGACAATGCTCCCGTTGACGGTACGAGCAATGACACTCGTCCTCCGAGTTGGATAACTCGTCCGAATCACAAAACTATAAGGTTTTTGTAACTGACAGCCTACATCAATGCGCGTGTTTGCTTCAGCGCTCGCGCTTCTCAACTATTTCATCTACCTAAGTGATCAGTTATCTTTGGCGAAATGCACCAATGCAAAGTTTTGTGCAAGCTGCCCTCCCAGGAAGACACTTTGCCGAGTACGTTTTGACAGGTCGCTGGGAAAGTGGTCGCGTCAAACGACAGATAGCTGATATTGCCGCAATCAGTATGGGTGGTGTGGAAGAGGTGGAATGACCCCGCTCTCGGCTACGTTCTCTACCTACAGAGATCGGTTAGTGACCGATGCAAAAGGAAAACATTGTTCTGAACGCCGCGGACGCGCTCATTCTATTCCATCCCTTGTCTCCTGACACCGCGCCGACCGACTGGGACAAAATCAACTGAACATCCGACTGAAACTCAAGAATCCACAAGTACCAACATACACATAACGTAACCCATGACGAATCACTCTTCGACCCTACATTGTCATGCAAAAACCTCACTGAGCTAGGAGAAGAAGCTATGATTTTCTAGGAAAGCCAAAGCAAAGCCGAGAGCTTACGCTGTATTGTTTTACTCTCAGGCAGTAACTAGTAACTTAAAGACACATAGTACGCTCATACACATTGAGGGTGTATGAGACTATCAGCCCCCCAGATGTCGATGTGTCGTGGTCCCCCCGCCCAAACATGCCCAGGAATGGAGATACAGGGCCGTGAAACACGCTAATTCTTCCATGCTCCGCCCACTGCCTTTTTACGGCGCAGATTCCCGCCGTTCATAACATCCGCAAGCGCGCGTGTCGCGTGCGGCTCCTTGGCACTTTGCCAAGTCCTTTAATTGCGCTCTCAAATACAAGTAAAACGCAATTTCCTGATGCGGATAACATTGGAGGTGCTACAAAATAAGAGCAGAAGATGATGACAAGGGGCAGAACTCAAGAGCAACTCGGCTGCATCTGCAGTATCCATCAAGGGCCGCGCATTTCCACAAAACATGAAAATAAAAACGGCATACTCGTTAGTTTAATACAAGCAAACGCAATTTCCTGATGCGAATAAAATTTAGGTGTTGCTCATGCTTCAAAATCCATGTACAAGGAGATGAAGATGACACAGGCTAGAAATGAAGCACAACGATGTAAATGTAAACAAAACAAAAATGAAAAAATCAAGGAAAGGCAAATTAGATAAACTGGCCTGTAAATTTCTACGATCCGGCGCCAAAGCCATAGAAATACTTAGAACAAACGAGTGGGACGCTTGGGCTGTTTTTATTTTCATGTTTTGTGGAATGCGCGGCCCTTGATGGATACTGCAGATGCAGCCGAGTTGCTCTTGAGTTCTGCCCTTGTCATCATCTTCTGCTCTTATTTTGTAGCACCTCCAATGTTATCCGCATCAGGAAATTGCGTTTTACTTGTATTTGAGAGCGCAATTAAAGGACTTGGCAAAGTGCCAAGGAGCCGCACGCGACAGGCGCGCTTACGACGGATGTTATGAACGGCGGGAATCTGCGCCGTAAAAAGGCAGTGGGCGGAGCATGGAAGAATTAGCGTGTTTCACGGCCCTGTATCTCCATTCCTGGGCATGTTTGGGGGGGGACCACGACACATCGACATCTGGGGGGCTGATAGTCTCATACACCCTCAATGTGTATGAGCGTACCATGTGTCTTTAAAGAGATAGCGCGACTCAGTAGAAGAAGTCACTCTTTTTCCACGATTTCGTTCATATGCAGAGTCAACATCGAACTGGACTGTATTAGAGAAAACCAACAGCATCTAATATTTGGGACAGAATAAAGCTAGAATAAAGTTCCCAAAATGTCCCTCCTTACAAGTTCGTTACTTCCAGAAGGAGACAGTGTTCCCTAGCTATTCTATCAAACGCTTTCTGAAACGTTCGTGAAAGGAAGGCTCACGAGATTTCTTAATCTCAATTTTTCTTAATGTGAAATTTCTCACTTGAGATTTGTGTTGTGCTCATAAAAACCTAGAGACTCACCATCAGGATCTCGTCCCGGTCTGTTTGCCAATCCAACCATATGCAGAACATCTCCAATAGGATAATCCTCGTAAACGTGGTACTTTCCGTTATAAAACTGAGTGTCCATGATAACCACGAGATACGCGAACATGCTGATTTGGTAGCACATTGTACGAGGTACGATACAAACCTAAACAACTGCTTTTCGTCCCATATGTGTTTCTCAAGTAACTTTTGACTCACTTGAATCGCACCACTACTGAACAACTTTTCCACAATTTGGAAGTCCTTAGCATGTGTTCCTTCATGCAGGAATCCAACACCACACAATAGTGTCTCCCGAAGAGTTTGATCCTATGCAAATTAGTGTCAGCAATTATGAACAATGAAGAGCAGTTACCAGTAGATCCTCACCTGTAGAGAGTCAAGGAGCTTGCGGAAAGTCTCATCCTTTTCGTTAATATGTAAAAATCGTTGAGCAGATCCGTCCGCGTGAGCCATTGTTAGCAAATCAATCGCGGTTGATCGGGACTGTCGTCGACCGGGGACAAATACCTGGAAGGTTCGTGTTTATGATAAACATGATAGTAAGAAAGAAATATCTCCTGTAAAACATACAAGGGCCGGTTTCGGATTGAGTTTTCCTGCATGACGACTGATTGCCTGATAAACAGGGCGGACCATAGCAGCCAAACGTGAAGCAGTGTGAGACAGATTGAATCCCTAAAATGGAGATCTATTCCATAAAGAGTAATAGTAAGTAAACTTCTTGTGATGTGCGACGAGGACAAAAATGAAGAATACTTCGCAGTTTTCTAAGTTCCTAAGTTTCACTAATAAACCAAAAATTTCCACGATTTTTCGTCTTGTTAACCCTAAACCTGCCATACGGTAATAAAGTACCTGGATATAGAGTTCCAGCGGAACTGGTCGAGTATTAGGTAGGAAATTGAATGTTGCAGCAGCTGAACATCCAAGCCAAGCGCCAACGTCGCGTGCATTCGTCAACGATGATGACAAACCCACAATACGAACAGTCGTGTCTAGCTGGGCAGACATGTACCGCATACGAGAGCAAATTACTTCCAAAATCGGCTAAAAATTACACTTTCAGTGGTTATAGCCTTTGATAAAATGAGTCATGATAGGAAACGTTCAAAAAACCCACTCCAATAGTTCCACCGATCATATGTAGATCATCTACGACGAACAGTTTCACAGCTTGCACGTTCTTTCGTTGTTTCCATCGACGAGAAACGTTGTCCCATCTGTAAGGAAAGAATTACAAAAGTATTACAGAACGCAGTTATTTTGACGGCACACCTTTCAGGAGTAGCTATGATGAGCTTGCCACGTTGAAGTAGTTTCAAGTCGGTTGATGGTTCACCAGTGAGTAGAACCACCGTTCGGTCAAGCGCCAAACCGATCCGATCTTGCCAGTCATTGAAAATCTAGAATAGGAAAAATAAAGTGGAAAGTGAAGAAATGCGCTCCAGTATCAGTTTCTGTGAGATATGGAGGGATTGTTTCACCAGTATAACTTGGAAGGCACTGCAAGATAAGTCTCACGACCTTGAGTGGCGGGAGTTGAGATGAAAGCAGTGGTAAGAGTGGGTTCATACTTTGCGGCACTGTTTTAAGCGTTTGCCAGCGCTTTGAGCGTCCGCCAGGGTCAGTGTTTTGAGGGTCCGCCAGCATCGATCAGGAAAGTATAGGTACCGATCTAGCGTTTTGAGCGTGCAGCAGCGTTTTTAGTGTTTTGAGGTCACGTTCTGAGCATTCACCAGAGTCCTGAACGACTGCCAGTTTTCAGCGAAAAACTATATTTATACTTTTGCTTGGTCGCTCAAAACACCCAAAGCGCTTTTGGACGGTTCAACGGCGATACCCGCACTTTCCTAGTCGCTCAGAACGCTTAAAACGCCTAAAGTTTTCAGAACGCTGATAGGCGCTCAAAACGATGCCGCAAAGTATGAATGCACTCTAAGGGATGACGAGCCCAAAACAGAGTGCGCATCACCTGACAACTCGTTTTTGCAGCAGGATCTGAAAGAGGACCAAGAAAGAGAGTCGATTTAGGAGATGAAGACAAGGGTCGAATAAGATCGGCCCTCAAGAACTTCACGGTCCATGCAACTTGTACAGTCTCGTCAAAATGAAGACTACAGAACACTCTGTGAAAATACATAGGGATTTTAAGCAAAAGTGCTTGTTCTGATAGAAGATTTTCGCGAACGAAATGTTTACTGCACATTCGTCTTTGAGCGCGTTTCCATGCGATTAGTTACAACTCTTCATCATACGGACTGTCGGGGCGTATCGGCCAGAAGGAGTGCGCACACTGTTTGAAGCCGTTCTCAGCCTCTTCTTTGAAGAGCGTATGCGACAAAAAGTGGTAGAAAAATCGAGGGTTTAAAACGATAATACGAAGGATATAATGCTGTTATGTCATTTGATCGCTTCAACAACTGGTGCAGAAAGACTTTGGAACCGCGGAAAACGCAGCCGCACTGACCCGCCCCGACAGTCCGTAATGATGAGGAGTATATTTAAGAGTGTAGTAGCATGACGCCTAGAAAAAAATGGAAGAAATAGCCAAATTAAATGAGATGTGCAATAAGCACCAGCACCGCAGAAGACTATGAGCCAGAGAAGAACACGAAGGAAGCGCGAAACTAATAAAATATTAATACATAATTCAATACAGTATATATGTTATTGTCAATGAACAACGCATAAGAAATGCATTGCTTGCTCTGAAGACGGAAACCCTATGGAATCATTTTTGGTGGCAGTGAGCCTTCAGAATAAAAATGATGCATTGTGATTTCCATGAGCCATTTTGGTTGCATTTTAGCGCCTCAGAGACCCCTGTTTGGGAATCCTACAACTAGAGAGAACAACTCCTGCTGAATTTCACACTTTTTGCAATTGAAATAACCTAGACATTTTGACAGATAGACTAAAGACTGAAAAAACAACCTACCTTAGTGGCCATGTCTTCCATTGGAGTGACATATACACACTTGGCGTCCGGATGATTTTCAAAGTGACGAAGAATGGCAAGCTCTGCGCAAGCTGTTTTACCTGAGCCATTTGGAGCAGCTATCAGTACATTGTCGTTGCTTTCGTAAACGGTTCGGAAAACTGCAAATGATGGATACGCCTTCAAAGTTTTTTTCCAAGCATATTATTTCAGTACTAGAATCTATCTAATGGTAGACTTGACAAGAAGAAACCTTGTGTTTGAATGGGATTGAAGATTTTGATTTCCTTCGCCTGGAACACTGCTTCAAACTGTTTGTTGTTCAACGCGGATATCGGGAGTGGCTGCAGATCGAGCAGTTCCGTAGGAGGAGGATACTTCTCTGGGAGCACAAGGTGGCGGAAGGAAATAGGTAGCACCTAAATAGGGAAAATGTTCTTTAATCGTGATACTTGACGAGGTAAAGAGGCGAACAAAAAAATCTCACAGTTTCAGATCCGAGCCATCTGTCTGATACGATTCTTACGAAATAAAGCGGGGGCAATGGATCAAAGACAGGAACAAACATCTTGACAACATGCTCTTCTGTGCAGAACTTCCTGAAGTTAGGAACAAGTTATTAAGGTAACTTGCACTCGCATTTCATTGGAGCCGACCGAAAACATATTAGTACAGCTGAAGTAACAAACATCGAATATTTCTATAAGACTCACTGCTTGAGGAGGAAATATTCATGATGGAGGATAAGTTCACCATCAACATCTTCAACGAAAATCCAAAAACCTTCCGCACTACCGTGTACCCTCAAAATTGTCAATTACTTACTTATTTGGAAAACACCTGGGACGACAAGATTATACTCACTTTTCATCCCATTGGAAAATCCGGAGTTATGGTCAATTCAATACGGAGGGTAGTTCTCGTTATGGGCTGGATGAGGGTTGTCATTTCCAGTTTAGGGAACTGAAAGATCATCAAAGTTGAGCAGGAGCTCATGGAATATTTCAGTGTGAATAAGCGGGTTTACCTGTCTGATGAATTTGTACAGAGGTTTTCCCATTTTCGGCATGCGAATCAGCTCTCCAAGTTGGTGCTGATCGAGATCATAAAGGCGTTCGAAAGAATAATTCCTTTTGTCAATGCTACGCACAATCTGAAAAAGATAATTGTGAAGTTAAAAATATGAACTGTTCTCTCTTTTATACTACGGTAACATAATCAGCTCACACCACAAGCATTCGAGCCTACCTACAAGCCCATAGCCCACAGAAAGCTGAAAAGAAGCAAACAGCTGAACACCTACTTCTGTTGGAATTTTCTTGAACTGGTGAAGAGGGTTAAGAGATTGCCATTGTCTAGCTGTGACCATTTTGCACAAACTCAGTACTTTCTGAAACGTATACGGATGGCACTTGCAAAATGAAAAAAATAACCAAAACGCAAAAAAAATCAACGCACCAATGCCAAAGCAGCCCATCCTCGCCAAAGGACTATTTCGTACAGAGCTCTAAACAGGCGACCCTGCAGATTGAGCAATGAACACCATGTCGGATTGCAGAGCAAAACCATCCAGTTTCAACTGTGAAATGTAGGCCTGAAAGGATAAATACGAAATAATTGCCTCAAAGGCAGTCCCCCGCGCTCAACCATTCAGTAGGCGTCATTTCTAGTTCAATAAGTCTGGTCCGCAGTCTCTAGGATTGTGCCACTTTCGCAGTTTCAAAGCAAGTGACCAAGGCACTGCGGCCCTCACAGGACGCAGTTCTGATGCCTTCCTAGTTGTCCCACCTACCAAACAACGTCTATTTTCTGTCATGGGCCCAGTCTTTTTCACTAGAAGGAGTGCATCGGATTACGTGAAGAAAGGACTCTGTGAGACAGGATATCACTTTGTTGGTTTAAAACGACCAGGTCCGTAGAACTGGGGCAGCCAGGGGATCCTTGGGGTGTTGCGGAGTCAGGAGCGACTATAGGTTTCTGTTGAACGCCATTATCCGAAAGATGCAATCGCTGCGGATTTTTTTCTGAAGGGAAGTAAAGAAAAAAACAATGAAGAAATTACCTGAAGAAGAACATTAGTTTTTGCGCTGCTTTCATCAAGGCTTTCCTTGATTGGTATGGGTACATGTTCAGCTAGCTTTTGCAACTCAAGCTTTTCTTCCTCTCGAACCTTAACAGAGAACATTTCGTACTACGAACACATCAACCGGGGCCCGCCTTCGGGAGTGCGACGATGGCTGAAACGAACTGGTTACCTACCATGATATTTTTAAATTCACTGGATAAGGAGAAAATGCGGAACAAGTCGATCTCCGTTGCCGTTGGTTTCAGAAGTTGGTTGTATGTTTGCATAGACTCATACGTGCAGTAGTAATGAGATGCAATTCGTCCTAATTCAGTTGCCTGGAGAATAAAGAAAATTTGACATCATATCGGACCGTTTAAAAATTAAGAAAACGATACCGTAGTACATTCTTACGGTCATGTATGAAAACGAAATTATTACCTGGATCAACCCGCTCTTTTTGTCATATTTCACCAAGTTGCCTTTGTCAAGTTGCAAGCACGATGTGTGTATAAGATCCGCGCGACGTTGTTCAAGCAAGGGATCAGCTTTCTGAAATTCTCCGGAAATGACCGTCAGGCAGAATCCTTACTTATGCCGAACCGATATCCTGCCTGCATTCCCTAACTCCTGCCCTGACTACGCGTATGCAGTCTGCCAGGTTTGCCTATCGCGGAAAATCGTGTGGAGGCCAAGGCGGGTTCCAACGTCGGTCAGGATCTCCGCCCTTTTTCCTCTCTGGACGTGCACGCTTCGCGCCCAGATTATTCGCCTCAGGATGTTGGAGGGGACGCTGCCGAGGCAGTCGGTCAAAACTGGCAAGAATCTTCAAAGAATTCTTCATGCCTTGGTGCTGCTGTAAGAGTTTCTTAACCCCATCCTGGAAGGCAATTCAAACAGCGAGTACTGCAGCATCGAGACATGAGGTCTCCCCCAATTTTACCAGCGATCTCGGGCGTTGAAGCTGCTCCAATATTCCAAGCAGGTAGAAAAATATCAAGTGAGCAACATACCGCTTGTTCCAGTGGTATGCCGTAGAGCACCGGAGACTTCAACATTCGGATATAGAGGTAGGTATAGCCTAGCCACGACATGGCGTCGCTGACACTGCTAACTGTACCAAGAACGACTTCGGCATTAAGCATATCCGGCAGCCGAGCTATCATCTGGCTTTCCACAGGCAGCTAAAAAATGAAAATAACTCCTTGCACGAGAAAACATCAAAGCCAGGAGGTATATCCACAAACCTGTTGATTCATAAGGGAAAGGTAAAATTGTAGCTCCGAGTGATTCGTAATGAGGATTCCTTTTCCTTTAGAGTCATACTGTGGACGACCAGCGCGACCAAGCATCTATAAAAACTGGAAGATGAGATAAAGCAATATAGATCCTTATGGCAGCGCACCTGCATAACATCTAGGGCACCAAGTTCGGTCCACCTTCCTTTCTCTGGGTTGTATATTTGAGTACCTTTGATGATTACAGTATGCGCTGGCAAGTTCACTCCCCACGCTAGAGTGGCGGTAGAAAACAGCACCTAAAACTGGTACAATTGCAAATCTGGTTGGGTTTAGAAGGACTATGTAAAGCGTTGCGAATTAAAATAATTAAATACTTGCGAATTATTT